AAGTAAGTCTGTGGCATATTCACTCTGGGTACAATGGCTTTATCCTCCCAGTGGTTTTGACCTTCCCAATACTCCTGTAGCACACTAACCCATTGTGCAGTGTTTTCGGCCTCCCCCAGTAAGTCTGTGGCATACTCACTCGAGGTACAGTAGTTTTGGCTTACCCAGTAAGTTTGTGGCATACGCACTCAGGGTACAGTGGCTTTGTCTTCCCTATTAAGTCTGTGGCATACTCACTCGGGGTACAGTGGCTTTGTTTTCCCTATTAAGTCTGTGGCATACTCACTCGGGGTACAGTGGCTTTGTCTTCCCTATTAAGTCTGTGGCATACTCACTCAGGGTACAGTGGCTTTGTCTTCCCTATTAAGTCTGTGGCATACTCACTCAGGGTACAGTGGCTTTGTCTTCCCTATTAAGTCTGTGGCATACTCACCCAGGTTATTGCATTTGGTAGACCCCTTCCCTAGTAGAATTTGAAAATTAGACCAACTGAACGTTCAAGTGCTACAACAGGTACATGTATACTACAGGTAAACATAACTTTTGTTTCTGTAAATCTTTTCAGATATTGAATACAGCTGATGGTTCATTACTACGTACTTTGGTCGGATTTACCAAACCAATCATGAGTGTTGCTTACAGTGTTATGAATGGATTAATAGCAGCTACATCTGAAGACACTTTGATTCATATCTGGAATATGAATAGTAATATTGATGACAAGTTAACAGAGTATGTATAACTATCGTAAAAACTATTATAAAATACATCTGTCATTGTAACACCATAAGTTACAGCTTGCTGTAATTATCGGTATTGTACTGGGCCTTTTCATCCTACCATATTAGGAAGCGCAAATTTCAAATATGGGTTCAAGTATTATTTTAATTGACACATAATGAAAAATAATTTGCATTAATTTATGCGCTGTTTTGTTTTTATTCCAGAGACACTCCAGCACTCACCTTAATAGGTGACAACAGTGGGTCTGTAAGTTGTTGTTCATTCAACACCGAGGGCAGTAGACTAGTCACTGGTACCAGAGATGCTGTAAGTCACATATATATATTCAAGGGTTTAATAGAAAGGGTTCTTAACTTCATTTATAATGCATAATGTTCTTGTCAACACTGAAAACAGTGGACAAGCTCTATGGCTCCTGTAATTTGTCACTTACTTAATTAAAGGGTGACAGTCGTTACGCTGCACATGTTCGACATTTGTGTTGATAAACATTGATTTTCCCACAATCCAATGCACTCTTCTAATTGAAATCACAAGTATGAGGTCTGACCTTGGCATGACTTGCACTGATTACCGCCAATGACTGGTTTGATACCTTCCAGTCACCTAAAAAATACATAATTAAGGCTTCATAATGTGTCAGTTCGTACTCGTTGATCTGCATAACAGTCAAAGTCGCCATCTTTGTTTATATGAGACTCTATATCTCACCTTTAATGCTGTTTGTTTTAAGATGAAATGACTTAATTTTGTTTTTACAGATGTTAATTGTGTGGGATGTGAGTTATTCTAATATCCAGGGTAAAACTGAACTAAAACCTTTAAAGACATTACATGCATGCCATCAAGACTGGATTAATGACTGTGCCTGGTCAGATCTGGGTGATATTGTGGTAAGTGGTAACCATTAGTTGTTAATGGCTTGTTGAGATTGGTCAGATCAGAGTTATAGTGTGATAGCCAACAGTTGTTACTGGGTACTTGTGCTTGGTCAGATCTAGGTGATATTGTGGTGAGTGGTAACCATTAGTTGTTAATGTCTAGTTGAGATTGGCCAGATCAGAGTGATAACCA